GATGCATGCAACACCCGCTGAGTGCTGTGAAACATCTTGAAAGATCAAAGACAATGTTTAATATACCTCCGACTCGATTCGTCTGAAAGAAGAAAGTCATATCCACCTAGGATGACTTGAGGGTGAGTAATTTATGGGCTAATTTTCATTTTTGGGTGAACTAACCCTTTAATAAAAAGAAACATTTAAAATAAATGTTGTTCTTTTGAACTTTGTTCATCAAAGAATCCTAAAAAACTGTATCTCTGTTTTCACAAAAATATTAGGCAGTTTTAAACATTGATATTAATAAGAAATGTTTCTTCTGAAGAATCTTGTGCAGAGTTATTTTAGTGTCATTTAGATACTATAATAGATTTTATTACATTTTTGAATTCAGTTTTATTTTTATATTTTCTGCTTTCATGGTAATTTTAGTTAGTAGTTTTTTTTTTGTGTGTACATTTTTGACATGTTCATTAGTTTTTGTTGTTTTTAAATGTCTTAGTTTTTATTTTTCAGTTTTAGTCATTTTAGTAAATCGAGTTAAACTAAATGAGTAATGTTGCCTTGGAAACTGAGTTTAAGTGTTTTATATTTCAGTTAACATTTATTACAATTAGCAGAATTTTTATGGTTTTAGTTAACTTTAAAAATCCTGATTGTGAAGACTGGATAATGGCTTCTGAAAATTCAACTTTGTCTTCACAGGAATAAATTAAAATTTAAAATATATTAAAATAGAAGATAGATTTTAAATTACAGTAACATTTCAGAATGTTACTGTTTTGTATGTGTATATCTATGATATAATATCTAGAATAATACAAAAAAACCTATAATTAAAATTCAGCTTTCTCACCACAGGAAAAAATATAATTTAAAGGACAGTGGTGGCCAAAATTATTAGAACACTAGTATTTTCACCAGCTAAAAAATGGTTGAAGCCAGTTATTTATATATTTTGCTGTAGTGTGTGTCAGTAGGACATATCATTAATTGTAATAATCCAGTGAGATTTTTGTTTGCACAAGGAGTCTGACAGCAGCCAGTGCTCCACACAGAGATCTGATCTGATCATCATCCAGTCTGTCTAGAATGACATGAAGAAACAGAACAAACTGAGACAGACTAAATCCAGAAGAACTGTGGCAATGTATCCAAGATGCTTCAAGAAACCTACCCGCAAAACTACAGCACTGTTAAAAGTCTTAGGCACTTGTGTAAAAATGCTGTAAATGGATTACAGGATGCTGTCAAAAATAGTATCATAAATAGATTTTCCTTATCAATTAACTTCTATTAACTACATTAAATCAACATTTGGTGTGACCATCCTTTGCGTTTATAGCAGCTTTTGCCCTAGTTGCACTTGCGCATAGTTTTTCAGGTAGCTTTGCAGGTAGGTCTCTTGAAGCATCTTGGAGACGTTGCCACAGTTCTTCTGGATTTAGTCTGTCTCAGTTTGTTCCATTTCTTCATGTCATTCTAGACTGTGTATGTATGTATCAACGACGTGTATCTTGTTTACTGCAATGTATTTTTGTCTCTAAAAAGGCTGCTCTGAACATCCTGAAGCTCCTGTCAGAACTTGACCAGCAGTCCAATGAGCGCACAGCTAATGGACCAATGACAGGGTCAGTCTTAAATGTTAAAAAGGCTCTTATTAATTTTTACAATAGGTTACCATACATGGACTTTGTAGGTGCCTTTCAAAGTCATTTAAAGTTTAAGTGGCAGTTATTTAAAGTACATAGCTAAAGATAGAGCTGATAAGAGTAGGTTACCATACATGGACTTTGTAGGTGCCTTTCAAAGTCATTTAAATTTTTTAGTTTAAGTGGCAGTTATTTAAAGTACATAGCTAAAGATAGAGCTGATAAGATTCCAGTAACTGCATACATTGCAATTCATTTCTCACGTGTCTCCCTCTCGATAGGTGCAACAAACAAGACCTCAAGGGCGATGCATTATTAAAACCGGCTAACTCAAGCACCATCGGAAAGACTCTGGATGGCACAGTATAGAATTGACTCTTTGATTGGTCGTTTTATTTGCGAAACACTTGAGAAAAGTCAGAAGCAGAGTTTTGATTGGCTGCTCAAAAAGGCCTTTTGAGTAGTTCTTAATAGATCTTAGATTTAAAAAAGTTACAACAGTTAAACAAGGTCAAGAGATGTGGATGATGTTAAATCGTTCACACGCAGTGATCCATTTTTAAACGCTAAGGCTTTGGAAAAGTCGCCTCATCATATCCAGTGAAGTGGTGGTTTTGTTTTCGTTGTTAAATTGTAAAACGATTATCGTGAAGTTTGACTTGAGTAGATTGGCTTTTCTTTGTTGCTCCAAGGACGTCATGTTTTCAGTGTCATGATTTTTTGTTCTCGCTTTTATTTTAATTTTATTTTTAACGCTGTATTATAGGAACCCAGCGAGTTGGGTTGTGTTAGCGCTGTTGTGAAGTGCAGTATAAAACTCCATTGAAGGATATGATGAAGCTCTCAAACACGTCTCTGCTGTGGCGGTTTTTCTCCAGTACTTTTTGAGTTACAATGACGACCATAACACTCACACAAAAAAAATTTCGTCTACATTTTCATGTAGGTCTGGAAAAATGTTGTTGTGACTTCAGTGTTGAGTGTGGGGTGGTGTTTTTTGTTGTGTATGGAAGCGAGTGAGTGAATGTTTGTTTCAAGCACGATAATCTTCAGTCATGTCAATTAAACTGATGCATTCTCCTATCAGTGTTGACCATCTCTCTACCAGTTGCATCCTGGTTTCCTCATGGAATAGGAGTAAAAATGATGTGCCTCTTGCACAAATAAAAATATTGTGTGTGTGTGCTGTAAATACTAATCTCAGGGATTCCACAGTTATGGAAAACCTGTATTGGACTCTCATTCTGACGGCACCCATTCACCGCAGAGGATCCACTGGTGAGCAAGTGATGTAATGCTAAATTTATTCTCATCTGTTCTGATAAAGAAACAAACTCATCTATATCTTGGATGGCCTGAGGGTAAGTACATTTTCAGCAAATTTTCTTCTTTGGGTGAGCTATTCCTTTCATGTGATCCACTACATCTGGACTACTATTTACTATTCGTAAACCACATATATTAATTAGTCCAAGCTGTGCCTATTTGCACAAAAATACAGTAAGTAGATTGTGTATATAGCATTAATCTGGTATGGTTATGCTTTTGTAAGGCAATGTAGAATCCTTGCATGTTTTATGTTTAGTTTGGGAAGAATGGATCTAAGGTCTCCATGTTTGATTGCATGTTTTAAACAAGTCATCTTAACCTTGCTTTTCAAACCTGCAGATGTCAAATTAGTACTACTACTACTTACTAATAATTGCATGATCACAACTATTTTTATGATAATAGATTATAAGAAGAAAATTAGAACAAATGAATTGCTTTATATTAAGCACAATGGATGTACTGGACTATAAATTAAAATGCTCCCAAAACATTTCTCAAAGCCCGATGGCTTTTTATGTGTACATGTATTTCACTAGCATCAAAGCTCCATTTATTTTACACACACCATGTATGCCCTTGCATGTGCCATTTACCTCACATAACTATTAAGTCCCTCTGTCTTTGCATATGAGACAAGGGAATGTGAATATATGAGGCCCTACATTACAGCAGTGCCTATGGTATTGTTCTTTCTGCATGAATAGCCTCTAGCTACAGGAATTAATTTAATCCTCTCTTTTCACGTGTTTCAGCATCAGTGGGCAATCCTGGCCAGCTAAGGAAACATTGAAGAGGGTCCTCAACCTGAAAAACCGATCTAACAACTGTATATGCAAAACAAACTTACATACATTATACCTTATATACATTTTATTGGCTAAGTACAAAATATTTTAGGTCATTCATTACTTTAAGTCTTTGTAATTTATACAGGGCGTGATTTAAAATTTACGGTAAAAAACCAGCAGCTGTGGTTGCCGGAATTTTACCATAAAAAATACAGTTGCAATGTTTTAGGTTTTAACTTAAATTTACAGTTAAATACCGTAATTTCATTAACTGGTATAATGTTAATATACCAACCTATTGAAGTACTGAAATCTGTTTTGTACCTTTGTAATACACTGATAACCACCAAATGCAGGTAGTGATGAGAAAGTCACATGATGAACCAAAGCCCATCACAAGCAGCTTTTAAATAATAACATATATAGAAGGTGCACAGTGTCATTCACACAAACACCATCATGGTAACACACATGAAACTGAGATAAAGCAATAAACATTCATTTAACAACATTAGGTGTAACACACAACCCTAATATACAAAACTGATAAGAAGAAACATAGTTATTTCAACAAAAAAACATCAAATTTGAAATGTAACGCAGGGAATTCTGGGAATGTCAATTTACGGTTATTCACTGTAAATTATACGGTCTTTTTCAATTCCAAAACGATATACTACCATAAAATTAATGTCCAATACAGTTTTTCACCATATATAGGAAGGGAATTTACCGTTAACCAATTAACAGGTTTTTACTGTAGCATTTTTGCAGTCTTTTACCGATAAAATTAACAGACATTTTTACAGTTTTCTCAATGATGGATTCTTACAAACTTGCAGTTTTTCACTTCACAAGATGTTAATAGATTAACTTTAGTCTTGTGGATTATTGTGATGTTTTTATCAGCTGTTTGGTCTCTCATTCTGACGGCACCCATTTACTGCTGAGGATCCAATAGTGAGCAAGTGATGTAATGTTACATTTCAGAAGAAAGAAATTCATCTACATCTCAGATGGCCTGAGTATAAGTACATTTTAAGCACATTTCTGGGTGAACTTTTCATTTAAGTGCCATGAGGCAAAAAATCGAAAACCAAAATCTGACTGAGTGAAGCATGTCATCTAAAACAGGCCCAGTAAATGTCACAGTCCAGCTCAGAGGTGCAGCAAGATGTAGAAGTCAATTACATGCATGAGTTCTTCAGATGTAGAGAGCGACATATTCAGGCTGCTCATTATCATGTCAGCGTGCAGCTCCAGACGCTCATGGATGGTTTACCTTGCTCTGCTGGTAACACTGGTGTCCCAGAGCGAAGGAGGTTGTCAGGATACGGGACTGTGTTGCTTTGGACAAAACCAGTCATGTATTACTGAAGACTGGAGGAAAGATCGCTCCTATGGGGAATGTTACTGCGACCAGGCATGCAAGACGACATTGGACTGTTGTCACGACTATGACCTTGCCTGTCCAGGTTTCTAGAATTTTATATTTGTCAGATGCTGTATATTAAAATTCTAAAAAAAATCAAACAGATAGGCTTTGTCTGTATTGGATGCCAGATTTTATTAGATTTTATCCAGAGCTATGTTTTTTTTTTAAATTTCTAGAAAATATAACAATAATATTAATATACGATAGTTATTAAATATTCTAAACACTTTAATAACATCAAGAGTTTAAAATATTGTGAACAAAATATATTTAAAAAAAATTGATATATTAATATTTTTTATGTTTTTGAAAGACTCTTAATGCTCACCAAGGCTGCATTTATTTGATTAAAAAATACAGAAAAAACTGTAATATTGTAAAATATTATTACAATTTAAATATCTGAATGCATTTGGGAAAGTATAGGCAATGTAGCTGTTTGGCATTTCTCGTTTCACATTTTACTTTATGCTACAAATGAATCTTTTGAATAATTAATGTTTAAGTAAATCTTAATTGGCAGCAGGATTATACATTTAATACAGAATGTAGTGAGCAGGCATTGTTGCATGCATCCAAACAAAACAAAGTTTCTGTGGCCTTTGAAAACTTCTCACTGTAGTACTTTACAAATGTTTCCGCTTTTTATTATTTAACACACTGGAGGACAAAAGCTTTCAAACATCTTTTTAGTGCAGATTGCTTTGTGATCCTGTCGCAGTGTAATGTGTAATGTTCAGTTAAAAACTACACTGGAGACACTAAACCTCATTCAGATGCAAAGAGGCCTTAAAGGCATAACAACAACAAAAACAGCAAAAAAGCCTGTGTAGTTTGAAGTTTTTTTTAGAGGTAGGATGGAAAATGGTCACAAAAAACTTTTTTTGGTGCAAGAAAAACTGAAGTAAAAATGACACTTTTTTCTGTTGCTGCTGCTGCTGAATATTACATTTGTGGATATCAATGCTTTCATTTCTACATCTACTGTGTGTGTGTGTGTGGGTGTGTGTTTTAGCCATGTCCTGTGTGGTGAGTGAATGGAGCATGTGGTCTGGCTGTCTGGAGCCGTGTAAACCCACACTGCGCACCAGGCAGAGACAGGTGATTCAGGAAGCACATAATGGAGGTGAACCCTGTCCCTCTCTACATCAGAGCGCAGGCTGCGCAGAGTATCACGACCAGCACGGCCCCTGCCTACAATCACTAGGTATGGAAATCTAAAGCTTAAGCAAAGCCATTTGCCATCCATCAACACAAATGTCACATATCATAATCAACAATGGATAGTATCTCAAAAGGTCTGAGGTCAACCCTTATGATCCATAATAAAAGCATCTGAAATGTATTTAGAATGATTTATACAACCATTATTTTTCCATTGAATTGTTACTCTTGGATGGAATCCACAGTACACATTACATCCCATTTATCTGAGTGAATATTTATCTTATATAATCACATTATCAGTACACAGACTGGTTCTGACTGTAATCAAATGATGAACTGTAATCATCTTCGTCAGTGCATATTCTCTAGGCACTAAAGCAGCAATCTAAACGTCGCCTGTTATCCTGATCAACTTTGTGCTATGTGCTTTTGAAAATGAGTTGAGCCTCCTTATGAGACTGCAGGTGAAGGATGGGGGCACATATGCATTAAAATCTCTCTTCCTTAACCTTTGACCTACTCCTCTGTCTCATTATTTTGCAGTCCCAGCGCTCATCACCACGGGTGGCTATGGAAACGCAAGGAAAAAGAGGGAGATTTTGGACAACAATATCACAGGGTAAGATTTGACAATCCAACACTAAAAAAAGGAACAACATTTGGTAACACTTTACTTGAAGGGGTGTGCATAAGACTGACATGACACCTTCATAATCATGACATGACACATGTCATGAATATGAAGGAGGTTTTGTGCATGTTTTTGAAAACTGTCATTAAGTGTTATTTGCTCAGTTATGTAAATTTTAATGCAAATATGACATTATTTGACCTACCCCTAACCTAAACCTACCCCTACCCTTACCCCTAACCATAGCCCATAACAAATACATCTCAAACAATGTCATCTTTGCATTAAAAATTACAGAACTGAGCGAATGACACTTAATGACAGTTGTCATAAACATGCATAAAAACCCTTCATATTCATGACATGTGTCATGTCATGATTATGTAGGTGTCATGTCATGATTATGAAGGTGTCATGTCAGTCTTATGCACACCCCTTCAAGTAAAGTGTAACCCAACATTTTTTTTTTTTTTTACCATGGTACATATGTAAGATCTCACAAATCACCACAATACTATAATTATTGGATCAAAAATACAGTAAAACAGTATTATTGTGAAACATTATTAAAATTAAAATTTTAGATTTTAATATATTTTGAAATGTTATTTATTCCTGTGATGCAAAGCTGAATTTTCAGCATCATTACTCCAGTCTTCAGTGTCACATGATCCTTCAGAAATCATTCTAATATGCTGATTTGGTGCTCAAGGAACATTTATTATCATTATAAACACTGAAAACAGTTGTGCTGGTTAATATTGTTGTGGACACCATGATATATTTATTTTCAGCATTCTTTGAGGAATATAAAGTTCAGAACAGCAGCATTTATTTGAAATATAATTTGTTTATATTTGCAAGCATTGCAAATCTGTAATATGACTTTTGATCATTTTAATGCATCCTTGTTAAAAGTATAAATAAAAAACAAATCATACTTATCCCAAATGTATATATACAGTATATAGTGTATGTGTAATGTTTGTTGTGTATTTATGTGTGTCTGTGCACACTTCAGTTACTGTGTGGAGTTCAAACTCACGTCCTTGACGGTGGGTTGTCAACACAGTTTCAGTCCACACACTCGCTGGACGCGATACCTGAAGGAGGGACATCAAGTGTGTGTGGAGTGCCAGCCACCAGCACTGGCCCAGGGCCAGCGTTGCTGCTCCGGGGACGGGGAGAACACGGGACAGGACGGGTAAATGCATAGAAACCTTTCTAGATAAATGCTTTTTTTAATTTTTAGGTTCAATACAAATGAAGTGCAGTAATTTAGACTCTCCCCTATAAACAATTATCATTAGAATTAGAATTAGAATGAGAAATGTTTAAATAGTTGTTTCAAAAGTATTGCCCTAAAACATTATACATGTTAACATAAGACTAGTGTGATCAAATTCATCTTCTCATAGAGCAAAAAACACTCACAGGAAATACCAGAAGTCAATCCTAAAACAAACTGAGGATTTAGACAACTTTACAACTCAAAGAACACACACACACATTTTTTTAATGGAGGAATTCATATATACTAGGTACAGTTAAAACTGTAATATTGTGAAATATTATATTCTAAAAATAGATCTTTTCTCTTTCAATATATTTTAAAATGCAATTTATTCCTGTGATGCAAAGCTGAGTTTTCAGCAGCCATTACTCCAGACTTCAGTGTCACGTGATTCTTCAGAAATCATTCTAATATGCTGATTTGGTGCTTTAAGAAACATTTCTTATTACTAGTCTAAACATTTGATCTATAGATGACTGAGATGTAGAATTATTATTAGGCACTTCAGCTGTAAGTCATTGTGATTCATAACAAGCTAAAAAAAATTACTTCGACAAGCCATTACAAAATATTGTGACAAGTCTAAAAATCTTTGAAGAAATATGGTCTCCTGACATGAAGTAGGCCAGGTTTTTCCAAGTCCTTGGCCACTAGAGGGAACCATGACACATCTTTAAATATTCAAAGGGCTAGTGTATAAAACATCCTGTACTGCTTTAAGACTTGTGCACTCATTTGGAGCACTCTAGAGCCTTGATATGTTTTTCAATAAAAAGAGAGCAATTGCCTATTTAATCTGGGCTAAATTTAAAACCTTGATGATGCTGGTCTATTTTTATATATAGTATTTTTAATAATACTTTAGCGATATTTTATATTAACCAACACATAAAATGCTTGTATTATTCATAAGGTAGGGTTGGAACTCTTAACCTAGCTCAAGGACAACAGCCAGAGCGATACCCATCACTCTATCTGTCTTCCTCTGTCATCTTTTCCCATCACATTCTCACTCTCTCACTCTTAGGAGCTTGTCTCTGCAGTGGCAGGCTGTGGGGAATTCTCGGTGCAGAGGGCTGTGGAGATGGGTCCGTCGACTAGACTCCTGTTCCTGTCCTACTGTACACAGTTTTCTCTTCATCTAACTCGCATGCTTCAGTCAGTCTAAACGGGGTCATGAAATTTCACACTTTTAAAGAAGTGACGGTTGAATGTGCAGACTATTTTGGTAGCTCAAACCAGCTCTAGGCTTGTATGCCAAATGATACAGCTGATACCTCATTACAGTACGTTATCAAGAAAAGATTCAATATTAGTCACAGTTAATTCCCATTTATACATAAAAGACTAATGCTAATGGCCATCATATTACGATTAAAGGAACAGTTCACCCAAAAATTACAATTTGCTGACAGTTCCCTCACCCTCAGGCCACCTATGATGCAGATGGTTTTGTTTCTTCATCAGATTTGGAGAAATGTAATCACTTGCTCACGAATGGACCCTCTACAGTGAATGGGTGCCGTCAGAATGAGAGTCCAAACAGCTGATAAAAACATCACAACAAGAAATCCACATGACTCCAGTCCATCAATTAACGTCTTGAGAACATGTTGGTGTATTTTTGATGTGAAAGGACAACAGAGGATGGACTTTTTCACTGGAGGATGCGTTATTATGAATTGAGAATATGAATAGACTGGTATTTTGGCCAGAAGCAACGGTTTACAGTTAAAACATCTTAATAATTAGTTTCTAATAAACACACAGCTTTTCATTTTACAAGATGTTAATTGATGGACTAGAGTCTGGATTACTTGTAGATTCTTGTGATGTTTTTATCAGATGTTTGGACTTTCTGATGGCACCCATTCACTGCAGATGATTCTTTGGTGAGCAAGTCATGTAATGCTAAATTTATCAAAATCTATTCATTTTTAGGTGAATTATTCCTTTCAGCAGTAATAATGAATTTTAACCAGTAATATATTAAAAGCACTAAATAAAAATATTAGGTTGCTTTTGTTATTTTTCTTTAGAGCAAATGACTTCTAAGTGTGAATTAGGTTTTTATTTTTTTTAGGGGCCTGTAGGGATACACCATTCAAATGAATGCGTATAAACTCTAATGACAACACAGAATAATAGGTAAAATTAATAATCTGTATCATTTATTTGATTTCCAGCCAACCAAGGGGGGGAGGGGATATCTCTTCTTCATACTGCAAAAAAATCTAAAGATTTCAGGACATGTTGACACATTTTTGGCTCTTTTTCCTATACAAGACAAGGAATTGGCTTTTTGTCACATACAGAACAAGTTACAGCTTCCAGAGGTACGACATGCATTAAACAACATAACACACATACAGAAACAACGGCATAGAAAGTCAACAGGTAGAAAGATTACAAAACAAACAGCCTTTAGACCTACAAACAACATTGTAGAAGATTTAGGGCAAGGGAGGGATTGTAAACAGTGCTCTCTTTTTTTTAGTTCCCTGGAAATTCTACAAGGATGTTTACGGTAATTTCTTTTAACCATGAAATACTTCCTACATTTCATACTTCTAGTTACCACTGTTATTGTACAATTTCATAAGAAAACAAGAAAAATCTAATAAATCTTATTTGTGCTTTCTCGTTGAAATGAAATACATAAATCACCACAAACCCTCTCATTAATAATCAACTGAATTAAAAGTCAAAGTGCCGATTATCTAATACATGTTACTGTAAACCAAAAATAACAAAATCACATTTAATTTTCAAACAGCGTCCATGTTGATGCTGGAAGCATCATCAGGTCGTCACAGTTTGACACGTTTGTGAGAAATTTTAATACCACTTAATTTGAAGGATTTTATAAATGTACCATAATGAATTGCAACCTGCACTGTCGTGTGGGTGGGTATTTTAGACAAAACACCTTTAATGCCATCCAATAAGACACTGACATTGGACTCAAATTACTGATTGTCATCACTGTTTGTAGACTGGTGTCAAAAAATATCCCCAAAATAATCACCCATATATAATTCGCTCTAATCTTTGTAAATGCTCTATGCACACTGCACTGCAAGTGTTCCTGTGGGACTTTACAGAATGACATCTGCAGAACATATATAATAATACAATAATACAACATATGCTAATCTCTGACATCTCTGATTGAGCAATTAACATGGACTATATGGAGGTGAATCTCACAAATTCTGAAAAAAAAATGGTATTAAATATTGCATAAAGAAAATGAAAGCCATATTAAGAGCCAGTAAGATTGTTTGGATTATAACATTTTTTACATGACAAATTAAGAACATTTTCCCACGATTTTCACCCCTTAAATGTATATGTATTATATTAAATCTATTTTTCAAATTTTTATTCTAACTTCAAATTTTTAGCATGCAGTTAAAAAAAGCAAAAAGCATGTTTTCAAATGCAAAAAAGTAAATAATATATTTTGTGGGGTGAAAATGTGCTTAAATCATTTTAAAAATACACATATTAAATTATTTTCTTTTGATTTTTGGGTGAAATTTGTCAAACATTTCTTTGTGAGATTCACCCATGGATCATTACAAAAAAAAACAGTATTGACATTGACTTCAGGGCACAGCCTAACACAGATACAGGAAAGAGAGTTTTGAATGGCTTCAGTAAAGTCACATTTTAGCGCTATGTTCTCTCCATATGAATCTACTAAATGAATAGGGCATTAAATGTGGAGCATACACCCAACAGATCATGGATATTATATAATATCCACATAAAAGACCACAAGTGGAGCAAGGGACATTAGCACTCAGAAAGCAGCTTCCTTTCCCACCATTACAGTAAGCAGTACACATCGTTGCATTCATAAATTATTCTTTATTGAGGGGAGAGGGAAGATCCCTCTCACTTACAGATTTTTTTCATCTTCCTCCCAATCACACCCTCCTCCCGCTCTCTTGCAGAAAATTGGTATTCCGTTCACACCTCAGTTCAACTCAGCTAAAATCGTTGAGACAAGGTTGGAAGCGTACACACACTCACAAGTCTCGGGAGAGGCCAAGTTTCCCCCCCATCATCTTCGCACTCCCCCGATAACACATGCACACATAGATATTCTAAGAGACAAGTACATCCTGACAATGTGACTTTCAGTGATGTTATTTGTTGACACAGATGCAATTGAGTATATGATTTTGATCTAATTTAGCCCTCACTATCCCGGTTTTCAAATTGGATACGAGGGCTAGCAGGGAGGGCTTGTGGTCACCATGGAAACTGGATATAGTCGTCTTCAGGACATTGTCTACATACCTGTGAATACATGCTAGACTATGTGTATGTAAGTGGTTACAGAATGGTGCGGATGGCAATGTTGGAGATAAGGATCTAATCTTTTAAGGATATTAAGTTTGTGCAGTGTGAAAGGATTGTATTAAATTCGGAGGTAAACATGGTCATGCATTATGTACTGTTTTACAGAGCTCTCTATCAAAAAGGATAAATGTTTGGGATTAACTGGTGGTCATCTTGGTCACGTCGTGTATGTTGAGCCTGAATAACAGTTGAGGACACAAAAGGTCCCATAAAACCTTTTATTAAATCATATATTTTAAAATAAACATCCTCCCTGGCAATGCAAAATATGAGACCATCTCCCTCACTTCATATGATCATCTAGAAAATACTTTAGAAATATATAATTTTTCTTATATTCAGAAATATTTGTGTTTGAGACAGCATCTACTGCTATGAAACTGGTCATTCTAACTGAAATGTTGAATTGACCTGAAGTTTTTCAGTAGTTTCTATCTTGGTCAGATTGAATTCTAGCCTTCCATCATTTACCAATATCTGGTAACAACAGGGCGAGGTATGTGTTGTCCATTCGTTCTCATTGTTGCTTCTGTTTGGGCTGCCAATATGCATGTGCTACCTAATTGTTTTTTTTTACATAATAAAAAAAAAGCAGTCATAAACATGGGCTTTTTGAAAGACAATATTACACATGTAAGCACAGCAAGAAGCGTATCTTCAGTTATTTTCTTAAATAACAACACCTTTGTATTTTAAATGGATAGTTAACCCAAAAAAGAAAAGTCTGTCATCATTTACTCACCCACTTAAACCTGTATGCATGTCTTTATTCTGCAGAACACAAAAGATGATATTTTGAAGAATATTTGAGTCTAAACAACATCGGACCCCACTGGTTGTACAAAAAATAAATAAATAAATTCAAAATCCTTATTTGTGCTATACAGAAGAAATATAGCACACAGGAATGAAATGAGACAAAGTAAACAGTGACAGAACTTTAATTTTTTTGGTGTACTATTCTTTTAAATTCTGCCAAACTATATACTCACCCACTTAAACCTGTATGCATGTCTTTATTCTGCAGAACAAAAAAGATGATATTTTGAAGAATATTTGAGTCTAAACAACATCGGACCCCACTGGTTGTACAAAAAATAAATAAATAAATTCAAAATCCTTATTTGTGCTATACAGAAGAAATATAGCACACAGGAATGAAATAAGACAAAGTAAACAGTGACAGAACTTTAATTTTTTTGGTGTACTATTCTTTTAAATTCTGCCAAACTATAAAAAAAAAAATCCTAAAGATGACACACAAGTAAATGAGGGGAGGTAAATTTAAACAGATTTTGGTCTCTTCCGATGAAACAGTTGACGATTTATTCTTATACTGGTGAATATGAGACAAGAAATATGTGAGACAGACTTCTACAGATAATCTTCATGTCTATATAAAAATAAATTAATCAAGTAGAATCACACACCATGTGGAGAGTGAGCTTGTGTGCAGGAATGTTAATTATTTTATATGTGCACATTATCATACCATCATACCCTCCCTATTTCAAATACGCTTGCACACAAGCACTCATACTGTATGCAGACCCATAACTGCAGTTAAGTAAGGCCAGTTCAGTTTATTAAGGGACAGGGGAAGGATGCACTAGTAAACAGGGTATAACATGTCTCTAATGCTAATCTTTAAGGTGGGCTCTGGACAGTGACTAGCTGACGTGGGCAGTGACGACTGTCCCCCTTGATTTACCATACACATCTGCGCTTAAATGTCTGGTAAGTGTTCAGCCTCAAGCTAATTAAGCTTTAGCATACATTCTGTTCTTTTCACAAACAACTGTAGACCAGATCCGCTCTGGCTTTATCTTACCCCTGCGACACACCAATGCAGGCTTGTTTACAGAAGAGGAAAAAGGGCAAGAGGTGTAGGCAGTGGTACATCCTCAAGATCCTGTTCCTTAATGATGTAACATGACCACTGTTTTCCAGTGAACTCTCCCGCATAAAGTCACCAGGGTACGCCCCCTGGTCAGATGCCTGTAAAACGATTCTCCATTGTACATTAGTCTCTGCTTTCCCCAAAGTCCTTGACTGAACTTGGCCTTCTTTCCCTTCTTGGACTCCCTTTGGAGTCCAACTCACGACCCTGAGGCCTCAGAGGCCCTTATCAAATGCGTTGGAATGTCCCCTGTCCCCTTTAGGCCTTCGTGAGTTCTCTGAAGCCACATGGTTCTCATGGCCAACACTTGGGCTACTTCCCAGTGGGAATAGGCAGTTCTGACCGAGCAGCCTTTGGGCAGCTTCCAAGTGGTTGGTGGCCCCCTGGTAACCACTGAGCCGAGGCTTGGAGCTCAGGCCACCCAGCAGGCGGTCAGATGGGCCACCTTCGCGCAAGTGCTCCTCGTCATCTGTGTCAGCATCGATGTACTTGCTGATGGACGCGTCGTGAAAAGTGAAGACTGCAGGGGTGAGTGCTTTTCTCTCGGGTGTCTTAGGTGGAGTCCTGCTGCTGGCTGTTGTGTAGACAGACACCTCGGGGCTTAGGATGGAGTGGTCAGAAAGAATAGAGCTGTCAGACAGAGGACCACCTGATAGACTGGCCTCCCTGCAATTACGATGATTCACCCTAACCGAATGCATTTTCTGAGAGTTTCCGAGAAGTCCTTGTTGCCACGAACCCTCGCTGTTGAGAGGTTTAGCACCAGAACATGGTGGTGTGAGCATAGTCTCATGCTCCAAGGTGGTCTGCAGACTCGGATTAGCACTGACCCGACCAGAGAGGCCAGAACCAGGGCTGTGGGAGAACCGAGAGTTCTCTGGGAGGGATAGACCTCCTGCCGGACTGTAGGGGAATCGTGGGTTCTCTTGGAAGTCTGTTGCACAGCTGATATAACTGTCAATGCTCGACAGACTTTTCATGTCTACCACCCCTTCACGACCCCCAATCAGTGGGTCGCCTCCTTGACCTGGCAAGGCTCCCAGCTCAATTTCATCCCTTCTATGGCCTGCTCGGGATGAACCTTTGTCTTTTGTGTTCAGGTTGGGCTGTGACTGAGTCTTTGCCATGTGGTTGTACATCTCTTCTAGTTTCTGTGCATTAAGCCTCTGTGGACTAGAAGCTCTCGCCTTGCTAGGAGAACCTTGGTCTGGGTTGAAAGAACGATTAGAACTGGTCTCTGAAGCTGCCCGCTTGGATGACCATTTCCATCGACTGGGTGAGAGATGGTTGTCCTGGGTTCTCTCACCCTTGTCCATGACTACCACATCCAGAAGCTCTGCACCACGGGAAAACGCCTCTCTAACATTCATGGACACTATGCTGCCATTGCGTTTGGCTCGCTCTAGAGCCTCCCGTCTCTTTATGGCCTTCTCTTGCCGTTTCTGCTCCTTGTAGAATTCAGAAAAGTTGTTGACGATGATGGGAATGGGTAGGGCAATAACTAACACTCCTGCTATGCAGCAGAGTCCACCAACGATCTTTCCCAGAAGCGTCTTGGGGTAAATGTCCCCATATCCAACAGTGGTCATGGTAATAGTGGCCCACCAGAAGGAGGCAGGGATGCTCTTGAACTTGGTGTCATCCTCGTCCTTCTCAGCAAAGAAAACTAGACTCGAAAAGATCATGATCCCCATTGCTAAGAAGAGGATAAGCAGGCCCAGCTCATTGTAACTCCGTCGTAGCGTGAAGCCCAGTGACTGCAACCCAGTGGAGTGACGTGCCAACTTGAGGATGCGCAAAATCCGCATGATTCGAAAGATTTGCACCACCCGCCGCACATTCTGGAATTGCAGCACGCTCTTGTTGGACGCGGTCAGGAATATGGTGACATAATACGGTAGGATGGCCAGCAAGTCGATGACATTGAGGGGACCTTTAAAAAATTTCCATTTGTTTGGTGAAGAAAGGAAGCGAAGAAGATATTCCATAGTGAACCAAGCAATGCACACCGCCTCCACATGGGCCAGCTGGGGATTATCAGTTGTCTGACCAAACTCGTCTGTGTCTTGCAGCTCTGGGAGGGTGTTAAGAGACAAAGCGATAGTGGAGAGCACGATGAATAGAATAGAAATGATTGCCAAGATCTGAAAGACAAAAAAGCAAACAAAAACATCCACCATTAGAAAACAAGAAAAACCTTCAATACTGAGGTTTGTGTCTCATGATCTCTTACATATTGGTAAAAACACTGGATACACCAGTGTAGTGATGCCTTGACAGATCATTCATACTTTGTGAAATTTTTCTCTACTAACCCTAAGCGAAATCCAACATCAGTGCTTAAACCAAGACAGCTGAATGAAATGGCCAACAGAGAATGAGTTTGAAAAAATGGTAAGGTCTAGGTAAATCATAACGACTGACTATATATACGTATATATATTGTAACAAACGTTTGTAGGTCGGGAAGAAGGAGGCGGGAACCGGCGAACACTCAAAGAAACTTTAATAATAAAATAAACACAAAATAGCGCGACAGCCCCTCGTGGACGACTGCCACGCACAAACGAAACCAAAACACAAAATAAAATCCAGGCCTGGTCCTCTCTCGTCTTTCCCTGTCGTCACTCCTCCTTTGTATCCTTCCGGAGCTCCTCCGTGAGACTCGAGACCGGTGAGTGGCGCAGGTGTCGCGCATTCGCAATTACTCCACCGGCCTCGCTCCGTTCCCACGGCTCTCGGCCCTGCCCCTCTCGTCACAT